CCCCTCTCAGACTGGAGCCGTGCGAGGGGGGGTCTCTCCTGGTCGTTGTATACTGTTCGTTTAATTGAAGAAGAGTTCTCCTCTTCCTGTTGTCGCAGCCCCGGGGAATCCACGGAGCCCATCAGTGCAAGAAGGTGGACAAATTGGCACGCCGCCGATACGTCCTGTGAACCGACCCGACCCGACCCGACCCGAAGTATATCTCATAGGGTACGCAGGTTTTACTCTCTAATATGTGAGCGACAGATGTTTTTGAGCCTTTTAAAGGCTAATCCATCAGCTTCGAGTCCCGTTTGCTTGTATCTTGCAAACAGTCTAGAACGCTCGTCCAAAAGCCTGCGGATGGGCTGAGGGAGAGGTGATTCAGAACTGGGGCGTGCGAGAACACGGGGGACGGACCGCTCGTCAGCTGAAATAACGATTTGTTCGATATGTTTTGTANTTGAACGATCTGACCATTTGTGGAAATTCCATTCTGGTTTTCCAGTCTATAATGTAGTCAAACAGCAGAACTACGTGGTCACTCTTTCCGAGAGGTGGAAGGTGATTTACCACGTCGATCTGATTGTCTTCATTCGTTATAATAACATCTAGCAATGAAGGAGCCTGACCTGGGCGGAACCTCGTAGGTTGATCTATGTGTTGAGTCCAGGAGTTTTCTGGTACTAGATCAATAAGAGGACAACGAAAAGGAAGATCAGAAGAGCATGTTGTGAGCCAATCCAGACCCCGGGCAATAAAATCACCAGTAGTCAGAAGGTGGGTGAAAGGATGGGTGCTACTTATAGACCTTAATTGGTCAATGAGTAGTTGGCCTTCGATGGGAGAACTCTGGGGAGGATGGTATACGACTCCAAGTAGGAGTGTGGCTAACCTTGAGCGTTCGAGTTTAGCCCATAACGTATCTATTGGGCCTATTGGATCAACTAAAATAAGAAAGGGAGGAGGAAGGGCGCTATTAAAATAAGCTATGACACCACCTGCTCTGCCCCGAGTTGAGTCTGATCTTCTCAATGTAAAGCCGGGAATGGAGATTTCCCCATCTAGAACATTTTCGTTGAGCCAGGTCTCGGTAAGGGTGATAACATGGGGGTGTTGGTCTAAGGAAAGTTGCTTTAATTCAAGAACTTTTTTTGGGAGGCTAAGACAGTTGCTAAAAATGCATTTAAGTATGCGTCCATCAAAGTCCTTGAGTCCGTTGGGGAGAAAGGTGGGACCGGTTGAGCAGTCGGAAGCAACATTAGAGGTGGTCGACGTACGGTTTGAGCGTAGGTTGGTAGGGGGCTATCTTGGGAAGGTATCTCACCATCGGTGGGGCTTTCTTTATCAGCCTCTCTGGCGGACGACCTGTCGCACCCTTCGTCCGAAAAATTGCTCTGTTGTTGCCGTTATCGAGCTGGGAGGGTACACCGCAGGAACAACGATTCATTGGGTGAAGAGTTGGTCCTTTATCGGCCTCCGGCAGCTTTCGCGGTGTGTCCAGACGCATCTGATTGCGATTGGGAGGATCCCCGAGGAGCCGTCTTCTAGTGTTAGGTGTGGCTAGTTCGCAGACCGGAATGAGTTTAGTCCGTTTTTTAGTTTTCAGCGTCTTTTGCTTCTTATTCCAAGAGACTTTAATTGAAGTCTGGTTCTGTTCCATAAAATTGTTCTTTGCTGAGCTGGCCGCTATTGGTTTAAGGTAGACTGCTGTCTCGTCTAAGGGTCTGGGGTCTGGGGAAGAGGGTTGAGACTTACGAAACTTTGAGTTCAACCGAACTACTGAGATGAAGGTGTATTTCATGCTGAATTTTTGAAAATCCTTCGGAACCCATAATGATTCATGGTGAAATAACTTTATCTGTGTGTTGCTTCTATATTGACATTTCTCGATCACAAGCATTATACATTATTATTAATCCGTTAATTGGATGCCCGGCACATTTGAATTTCGCGTGGTTTGAGAACGAGAGCGACTGTTTGCCTCTCTTTAGACATCTTATTTGGCTCGCTTGTTTGAGTGCTTTTGGCCGCATATTTGAGGTTTGCTTTATTGTACATTTTGTAATGATTTCGTTAATTCGGTACCGTAGAACATTGCGGATCAATTGGGTTTTTAATTCAGGATTCGTATCGATTCGGCTACGCGTCACTCAAGTGCGAATTGGTTGACGTACATAAGGCGCTTCTCAACAGTTCGGCGTCTCTAGGATCAACTTTTGGATCTTTTAGTTTGGGATGTGAAAGTCTCAAATGCAGCGGTTTATCAATGGAGACACCTTTCAAACCTAACCAGGTGCGTTTAAGGGTGTGTGCTTTGATGAGAACATCATTGGCAAGCTTGGAAAACCCCATATCGACAAGAAGGCCGAGATGTCTGGGCAAACCTTTGGCGGTTAGCCTGGTACAGCTAAGGGGTTTGAATCTATGCGGTTGTAGATGGCTGTATATATGCTTACGTATGCTTTCTAAAGTGTCAGATAAAGAGAACCGCCTCCAGAAACTAACCCGCTTGGAAAATTGTTCGGTATCCTTTAGTTTTTTTAGCTGCGTCGAGTATTTCTTGCTGCGAAAGTTTAAGAGCCGTATTCTCAGCGCAGGTTGTTGGGACTGACGTTAGGAGCAGAGCTTGTAAGTTGGCTAGCTGGTCGCCAAATATACTCAGCCTAGCTTTAAGGTTTTTTATTTCTAAGGCTTGCTCGTGAATAAGTCCCAACAGTTCGGTCGAAGGGTGTTCCGAGCTCAAGGTAGCCTCGTCTTGACGCATTGGAAAGGTATCTTCGTCTAGAGACAGAGGGAGCTGGTGGGCGGATAACATGACTAAAAAATCAGTAAGGATAGTATATTTTCTTAATTTCAGAAAGGCAAGTTAAGATAATGGGGGCTATAGACTAGCGAGAAATTTGACAAGACAGGATCAGATTTCGAACGTACCGCACAGGGTCAAAGTGATGGTAAAGTATTTAACCTCCTTGTTGGCGATCAAATTGAGGAAAATCTTCCGTTGGGACAAGAAACTGGAATTCCTTCTCGCATTGAGCTGTCGTTTGTTGAACCTACTGAAACTGTGCATTTGGTGTTTTGTGACTGTTCTGTTGTTCTGTGCACTGGTTTTCTAATTGTGACCCTTTGTTCTTCACTTCGCCACGAGTAATGAAATGTGAAAAGATGTCGGAAGACCTAGGTGGTGAGGATGCTGCTAGTGCAGTCCCGTCCGGTAAGTCTTCTCCAGCTACTTTACTTACATGCGGCAGTGTTGATGTTTGGTCTTAATTATGTTGCATTGGAGATGGAATGTGCACAACTAGAACTAGAATCTTCCGAGGCTATTAAAAGAGCTACAAATGCCAAACGGTATGCCGCGGCAGCTTTACGAGCAGATACCTATCTGCAATGCACGCAAAGGTATGCTTCCTCTCCACTGTAAGTAGCGCAACTGGTGTCTGTTCGTCTCCCGCTATTCTGGCATTGGATCCATTGTTGCTCATCGTCCAAAGCGACCGTGTTCCACGAAAATTTGCAAACACTGCAACAAATGGCCTTCATTGGTGATGTCGGATGGGTTTGCCTTCTGCGTTTAGTGTCCAGTTTGTATTTGGCTGATGTCGTTGTTGTCAGTCTTCGGAACACAGCATGCTCCAGTGGGTCACCTAGGACTATTTCGTCATCATCACTGCTGACTACTCTATTCACTAAAATTGATTTCTGCCTTTCTATCGATCCGCTTATTAAGGCTACTGGTGGATTATTGGTTCTTATCATCTTGACGCTCGTAGACGGAAGACAGGTACGCTTAATCTCCGTATTGTGTTGCCGAACCCTGTCGACCGAATAATATCTGGATGTCCGTGTACTTTCCTATCATATCTGCTACACATCGAAGTCGATTGCTTTGAAAATTGTAGTTTCATGTACTTAAACTATTCAGAAACACCCAGATCAAGAAGGACATAGTGATCATGATTGTACGAAGAAAAGAAGCAATCCTTGAAGGCGTTTTCCGTTCATATTTTCTTCACAATCAACTCTGACCCCAACTGTGATATTTTCTTTGTTTCACTTCTGCTTGTTTCGCTGAGCACGGTTTTCTGCTCAGGTGTATACATAAGATGGGTCCTGTTCAAACCCAGGCAACACGTGTGACACGCTTTCGCTTTGCTACTGCATTTATTGCTTGCTCGGCACGTATTAGGTACTACCTANTCTTCTTTCTTTTACTTCTACTTGTTTTACTGAGCACGATTCTTCGCTTAGATGTATATATAACATGGGTCCTGTTCAAACCCAGGCAACACGTGTGACACGCTTTCGCTTTGCTACTGCATTTATTGCTTGCTCGGCACGTATTAGGTACTACCTAGTAACACGATACACCAATAAACGTCTACGACTCCCACGAGTGTTTTTGTCTACTTCGGGCAACGAGACACCAGGAGATCGCGCGTAATTTGACATTCGTAAGAAGACTTATCGGTAGGCCGTCAACGCCGGTTAGCTTCAGACATCCTCTGTTTGAGCTAACTTAGACTGCGCATAGAAATAACACTCGCACTTCGTTTCCACTGCAGTAACTACTTTTTGACCCTTGCCCTTACTATCCACGACCATGAAGAACCCTATCTCGTGAAAAATTCATCCATTTTTACATAAATTACAGTTACTTAATAATATATTCCGCGCAAATGGTGTTACTCGTATGAAAAACGATTTAAAGGACTGCATTCCACTGGGAGTCGGATGCCCCTCATGGAATCTTTAGCAAGGCAAATTCCATGCGTCACTTCCAGTGACCTTGCTCGCTGTAGCACTTTCTTAAATATGTCCATTGATGAAGATCGCGGAGACAAGCCTGTCTTGAGGAGGCTATTTTCCGTCTCCACTCGGTTGGTCAACCTAGTCCTCACGGCATATCCTGCTCAATGCCCTCGGTATGGTTACCCAGTTCGGCGTAAATAAACGTCTGCTTCTGTGCTACGACTTTCTATGGCGGCTAAGAATCTACGAAACGATACCTCACTTTCACAGTACATGTTCCGCATCCATTGAAAGATGCGCTGCTTTTCGAACGTTGGCATACCACATAGCTGGTTACAGTTTTTTTCATATTCTTAACCAGATGGAAACAACAAAATATCACATTAGAGGACGGAAAGTAGCCTGAAAACGCGTTGTACTAGGCCAAACTACGATGACATACCATAGTCTTGCATTGTGCAAAGACTGGGCACATAGTTATCACGGCTCTCGCGGCAGATTTACAGCTCTCACCGCTCTCATTCGGCAAGATAGCGTAGAAAAAACTACATATACCGGGGTCGTCTACAAGCATAGCATGCCAAAGCAAGTACCCGCCACAGTTTAGCTGATGCGTGGCATCTGCTAACGAAACTTCATCAAACCTGGCGATGCAGTGCGGCATAACCTCGGGAACACAATAAATGTGACGAACGATGCCTTCGTTCAACCCTATCCTAACCTCTCCCTGATTCTCCAGGACATCCCGAACTTTCAGCGCATCGCCACGTTAATCCGAATGAGATCTGCTTCGACGTACATGTCTAATATCCGCCGCAGTTATTGGTCTCTTGAACCTATGTTTAGCGAAATTCCTTAGCTCGTGAGCACTTCTAAAAGCGTCCATCACAGCACACACTTCCGCTTCCTGTTCTCCAGATAGACGACGATTACTTATAGGCAAATCACGCTGACTCAAATGGAAGTCATGGTTGTGCACCGGACAACGTTTCATCACTCGGTACTCCCTACCGACCGCGCGAATTCCAACGAATGCCGGACAATGAATATTTTGCAGCCTAAAATGGGTTAATTACATTAGAAATGAGAGGCATTATTACCTGGTTGCAGTTGCGCCGCGCCTTCTGTGATGTACATAGCAATATTTGATGAAATAATACGAAAAACCCTCAGGCAGTGTCAGTTTCCGACCAAACTTTCTTTCCCGTATCAGTTGTTCGGCTGTCATTGACGCATAAACGTAGAAGGAAGTGCAAGTAACTCTTTGGAATTCAAGGAAGTCCTCCAAGTATACGTTCAGTGATCCATAGCAATTTTTTACCGTTCGTTCAAAAATAATAATAATAATAATGATAATAATAATGACGGTATATTTCACGAAGCCCGTGAGGAATGCTAGCGTGCATGATCAAATGTACAACAATGTAAAATATGACTGTCCAAACAAAGAATAATTATACAGCAAGTGTAAGAACGTAATTTTTAAGCGGATACAAAAGACATCGTAACCATGCATTGCGGTGAAAAAGAAACAAAGCGGACAAGATCATATAATGGAGTACTGAAGGTGATCTGTTATGGAGACCACATCAGTGTAAATGATTGTCTTATGAAGAACATTCGGGAAGACACAGACCTGGAGTTAAAAATATCCGCTCGGGAGATGATGCGCGGAAACGAGTTCGGCGAATAGAAGGAGGGTAGTGAACGTAAAAGCTTTAGAATTTCAGAGAAAGAGCTGCGGTCGAACCAAGAAAGTGCAACGAAATACAGTAGGACGACAAATGGTTTATAAATAAACTGTTTCAAGGATCGGTACAGGTGGACTTACTTCTTGAACAAGGAGTAAAGGGCCTCAGAGCTTCACCGTTAACGGATTGACTGGTTAACGTTATTTATGTTATGACCGTAGCGTCAACGTGAGCCATGGTTGGCATGAGCGTGCAAGTGATCGTCGACATTAGATTGCGGTATTTGTACTTCCCGGACAAAACAAATTAAGGTTAATTAAAAGAAATATAATTTTAACAAATGACTGAAATTCAGCCAGAAGCAAAATTTGTTCAATTTCACATAAATTCGATATCACTTTTTCTAACATACATTTAAAGGTCCGCCGTTTTTAGAAAACCTAATAGTTGGGATGCCCCACCACCGTCTATAG